TTACCTCTACATCCGTAAGCAAACTGCACCCTTTAAGAAATGAGGATCTGTTAATTAATTTCTACATAGAAAAATCACATTTCACCATAAAGAAAGTTCCTATCTTTCACCTTAAACTTCCTCACTTAAAGTCACGCCCATCTAAACCGCAATCCCCGGTGCACATATAAATCCAAAGGAAGTGTGTTAAGCAAAAAGACAGGTTGCTTGGTCCCATTAGAATGCATACTTCCTCATCTATGCTCGTCCTCCTCACATGGGTGAGAGTGTGTGGGGGATAGGGTGGGTACCCTTTCATAAAATTCATACGTTGACTCCTCATCTTTCACATTTATTAAAGGGGTAGGGGGCCAAATCCCCCTTTTAGAAAAGGAGCTTCGGCACCTCCATACTCAGTTACCACGTTGTGATTTCTAGTTTTGCTAACACTACCTACTGACATCTTAAAAATGCTTACTCTCTAATCTATATAAAAAGATGGGTAGGGACCTGTCTTTCCCACTAAATTACCGAAATAAAAAAAGGTGTGTCCTTGGATGCACCTATTGCACTACAAAGGTCTCTTCCAAGATTTATTCTGGACTAGTTTTGTATGTGTGTGTAAAGGAAAAAGAGGCAAATAAATTCCAAGCCTTAAAAATAGTACATTTTGGACATTCTATGTGTACCAGTCATTTTAATTCTTCATACCAATCCACACTATTTTTAGAATTCTGAATTTATGGATTTGAGGGAGCAATGAATTTAAGTGATTTAAGATATATTTTGAGTCCTAAGTTCAAGTATTCCACTGCGTCAAAGGATTTCGTGGTCCTAGAGAGCATATTATCCATTTACTCCCTCGGACAATATCCAAGCTCTCTTGAAGCTCATGACTACCCTTAAAAATAAAAGTCAAATCTCACTTTGTTTGTGCCTCAGAAAAACCATTCTAAGATTGAACTGAGACCATTCAACTTTTGGAAGTTGAGATCTAACATTTGAAGAATTGAAAATCCATTCTTTTTAAAAAATAATCATCTAGAGGTCTCAATTGCCCAAAAATCCAGATCTGAAAAATTCTCCAAAGTAACTCTGTCGGTCCCGGCAGTAAGTGAACAGTATGATCCCTTGGGACGATCTTCATTTAGTAAATAATCTGTTTGAAGAAGATAAATTCCATCGCTGTTTAGGTAGGTTAGAGAAAAACGTCCAATGGGTAGATTTTGGCCAAGCATCGCGCCTTTTTCAAAGAAATGAAAAGCTGTTCTTATCGCAACACCCGGGGAACCCGGCAGTAGATGGGATTCCTCAACCCCCTTGAAAGCGAAAATTTCTTATTTTCAATTTTTCACCTCATTTCATTTCTCTCTCTCTCGGTCCCATTTCTCCACCAAAATTCTTTACAGCTCTCTCTCTTCAACCCCACTTGGGCTATCACCTCCCTATCCCATTTCAATGAAACATAAGTTCTCCCTCCTCTCTCCCTCTCTCTCTCATAAACAACAGCTATTAGGGGAGGGAGAAAACGAGAGAACCATATCGCTTCTCAACTTTGCATAGAACAACATCCAGGCTAGAGGTAAGAAGAGAGACCATCACCATTTTCTCTCCTCCAATTTCAAAAAAACCATCACCCCTTCCTAGAGAGAGGAGAGATTACAAGTGGGTTTTTCATGACGATTTTCGATCAAGAATCAACAGAGGAATTCACCTTTCCAACCGTTCCAAATGACTACCATGAATTCTCAGTTTCTAAGGACTCCTTTTGGGTGTGTGCTCGAAAGGCCTCAAATTGTTCCTTCCCCATATGTGCCCAAGCCCATGAAACCAACTCACCCGAATTCGAGATCCCAACTTATCAGCCTAAAGCATTTCCCAGTCGTCACACTTCATCTATGGATAAGTTATGGGAAATCACTGCAAAAGAAGCAATTGGGTCTCTTCGAAAATTCTCAATAGATTTAGATGATGGTAGAAAGAGCTTTGTCAGTGCTAGAGATGATGACGGGTACGATGAAGAAGATGAAGAAAGGATGGATTCTCTATGGGAGGAGTACAACGATGACGTGGGTCAGCTTTTGGCCAGAAAAGATGGGGTTGGTCAGATTTTGGCCGGAAAAGATGGGGTGGGTCAGATTTTAACTGTGAAAGATTGCCGGAAAATGAAGGGGGCCGAGTCAGTGACAAGCTTCGAGTCCGACGCCGAAGGACATGAGATAGGGCATCTTGGTTGCATTCAAGCTCTAAAGATCTCTAAGGCTGGAATTCCCCTGAAAAGGCCAGGTTTACAAATGATATTAAAGGTTCTGAGGAAGCTCCTCATGCTTCACACTTCTCACTTTGCAAAGAAAGATTAATTTGGTTTTGTAGTGATATGGGATGGATCATTAAATGGTTATTGTTATTGGATTTACTATAGATCGTAATGGAGAGGAAATAGTAATATTTTTAGGCTGTAATTTGAGTTTGTAAATAGTCATACAAAGGTCAATTGGCCCGTAGTTCAAAGACTTCCCTAATATTCTAGAACTTGCTTTGTATTTTTAAGTGCTTTGCTTGGACTGGTGGTGCAAAGAAATTTACTTCGAATTTTGAGGAAACCTTTTGATCAAGCGATCATCAAATTGATCTTCATGACGTAATTTATTACGACAAACACATGCTGATTCTATTACATTCAAAGTTCAAAAGAAATTTTTGACATTCAAATTTCACATCGAATTTAAAGTTCAAAAAAAAAATTTTATATCCAATTTCACATCGAATCAAATAGTTGTAAGTAATTGTGACCTCCCTATATCAAAGATGTATGATCTCATTGCATACCATCTAATGGAATGATTGAAGTTCACAATTGATAAGTAATTGTGACCTCCCTGTATCAAAGATAAATGATCTCAATGTATACAATCCAATGGAATGATTAAAGTTCACAATTGGAGCAATCATTTGAATGTATCAATCGGTGCATCGATATCTGCATAATCCACCTTTTAAGAATTGGCAATAAACTAATTGACGATCAGTTTGTTTTGTTTTGTTTTATAATCAATGGTACCTTTAGAAAACGCATACACAGGACTTTCTCGGTTCAATTAAGCACCCTAAGCCCTGAAATGCCATGTACTGCATTTTGCACCGAGTTCCTCGGGACCTAGTTTTTGTTTATCCAGAGAGAGAGAGTACCTAGGATTGACACTGATGGATTGAGACTGGTATAGACTGATGGATAGAAAATCGCCACGTAAGAGAGAAACTGAGGCACTAACAGCCCCCAGGCAGCCAGGCGGAGGTGTTACAGGCAGCACGTGCCACTGGATAATGTTCAGAGTTCCATTCGCACCGGTAACCAAGTTGACATGAGAGAGAGAGAGAGAGAGAGAGAGAGAGAGAGAGGACGG